CGGGGCGCTGAGCCCGGACGTCCTCGCTCCTGCGCTGCCTCTCTGCATCCTGGCCCCTTCCGAGCTGCCACACTGAGCACCCCTCAGCTTACTTAAACGCGGCAAGGCTGGAGAAGGCCGTCTGGGGGACTGGGCGGAGGGGGATGCTGGTGAAGGAGGAATTCAGGCAGCTGCAAAGAACGCGTGAATATATTCATTCAATATGCCTCTTGGGCACCTACTCTGGGCCTGGTCCGGGGTGGGTGTTTGCCAGGTGGGGCCGAAGCAGGGGCGTCGCCGAGTTGAAGACTCATGTATTCATGCGTTCATTCATTCGCTGGTTGGAGAGGGAGGACGAGGGCCCCGCGCCGATTGGAGGGGAGCAGAACAGTAGGCACAGTTAGAGGGTCTTCACGGTGCATTTTGGAGCCTTCGCTGCCCGCTCACCCTTGATTACAGGCAAAGGCAAATTCTTGCCTCAGGACCTGTGTGAAACAGAGACGCCCAGAAGCAGATCCCCGCCTGTTTGACTCCGCTAGGGCTGCTGTAACAAAGTGCCACAGACTGAGCGGCTTAAACAACAAAAATTTATTGTCTCACAGGTCTAGGGGCTGGAAGTCCAAAATCAAGGTGTGGGCAGAGTAGGTTCCTTCTGAGGGCTGGGAGGAAAGGATCGTTCCATGCCTCTCCTAGGTTTGTAGGAGAGGGGCTAGGAGAAGGGGCATCTTCTTCCTGTATCTCCACATCTTCATCCCTCTATGTGTGTCCCCTGTGTCCAAATTTCCCCTTTTATGAGGACACCAGTCATATTCAATTAGGGTCCATCCTAATGACCTTGTTTTAACTTGATTACTTATGTAAAGGCTCTATCTTCAAATAAGGTCACATCCTTAGGTACTGGGGGTTAGTGCTTCAACATAAGAATCGGGGTGAAAACAATAACCCGTAACACTTCACCAACCCTTATCTCCAAAACACACACCACCACAGGCTCAAAAATTCTTGCTGTGTGAATGAATAAACAAACTTAATTTTCTCTCTTTGACTTAACCAAATGCCTTTACTTTTGATTTACCCGTAGGTGCTTGGATATTATTGTCAGATATTTTAATTTTTGACAATGCGATAGGTGTAAAATGATGTCTCAGGAACCCAATTTGCAGTACCTAATAACTGCTAATAAGGTTGAACATCTTTAATATATTTATTTCCCATGGAGCTTCCTTTTCAGAAAAAAGAAATGCCTGCTCATGATTTTTGCTCATTTTTCTGTTGCGTTGTCTTTTTCTTACTGATTTTTAGGAGTCTTTTATATGTATTTTACATATCCCTTCTTTGCCAGTTACATGAGTTATAAATGTTTTCTCGTAATTTGTAACTTCTTCCTTTTTTCTTTCTTTATTTTCTGTCCCACTTTTTTTGTGGTGTAGTCTGACGAATAGAAATTTGAATTGCAGTGTAACCAAATGTACCAATCTTCAATTTTTTTGCCTTTATAGTTAGTGATTTTTGTGACTTGTCTATTTCTACCCAAGCCCTTAAAGATATTGTGTATTTTCCCCAATAAGATTTAAAGATTTTCCTTTCACATTTAAATTTTTCAACCACTTGGAATTGATTTCTGTGTAGGATGTGAGGCAGGGATACAATTTCATTTTTCCATGTGGCTAATGTGTTTTTTTCAGTAACATTTATTGAATTGCTCACACCTGGCCACTGACCTGCAACTGATCTGCTACCCCTGTGCTATGTCAGTTTTCATAAGTGTGTGAGTGTAGCTCTGGCCTCCCATTTCTCTTACATTATTTAGTTGCCTAACCATGTCACAATACCACACTGTTTTAGTTACAGTAGTTTATAACAAGTGTTTATGTCTTTCATTCTTTGGATCTCGGGTCAGATATCACTCCCTTGGAGATGCTTCTGTGATCCCCCAACTTAAGTACATGTACCTATTAATGTTTTAACATAATTTAACTTGTAATGTTTGTAACTTAATTTGTCTGTCAAATTAAGTTTAACTTAAAGCTGCCTCCTTACATATTTTAGGTTCACCCTAAAAGTTTCTTCGTACATAGTGAACTGTAACCAACTATTGTACCAATCAAGGAGTTTCAGCCCATTATAGGCAGCCAACTGTTCAGACTGTGTTCAAATAAGGCAAATGGTAAGCTGTAACCAATCCCGCTGTTTCTGTACTTCACTTACATTTTCTGTACATCACTTTCCTGTTTCTGTCCATAAGTATTATGCAACCATGTGGCAGCCCCAGAGTTGCTCTGAACTTATTCTGGTTCTTAGGGTTGCCTGATTCATAACTTGTTTTTTGCTCAATGAAACTCTGTTAAATTTAATTTTTCTTTTACTTTAACTATTCTATTCATAGCCTTTTTCTTTTTTCAGAGACAAAGTCTCACTCTGTTGCCCAGGCTGGAGCACAATGGCATGATCATAGATCACTACAACCTTGAACTCCCCAGCTCAAGCTAGCCTCCAGCCTCAGCCTCTGAGTAGCAAGGACTGTTGCCATATACCTGGGTGATTTTTGTATTTTTTGTAGAGGTAAGGGTCCCGCTTTGTTGCCCAGGATGGAGAGCAATGGCTATTCACAAGCATGGTCATTGCACAGTACAGCCTGGAACTCCTAGCCTCAAGGGATCTTTCCTCCTTGGCCTCCCAAAGTCCTGAGATTTTAGGTGTGAGCCACCACACCCGGTCCTATTCATAGCTTTTACTTTAGTTTGTAATTGTACATTTGAATAGTGCATTATTAAATGACTGACTTTCACAATAGTCTGGAAGTTCCTTTATGGCAGACACCTTGTTTTCCCAGGGTTTAGCACACTGACTGTCACAAAGACAACATTCAATGAATATTTAATGAACAAATGAATGAATTCATTTCTGCCCTACAGCATTTAGCACACATGATAGATGCTCCATATATACTTCTTCACCTAGGAGAGGAACAATCCTTTCCATCGTACTCTGTTCCCTTCCTTGCTTAATTTGTCTCCATAAGACATAGCACCAGATCATATACTTTTTTACCTATACAACATATTTTACTTATTTGTTACATAGATTGTAAGTGTATTAGTCCATTCTCATGCTGCCATAAGGACATACCCGAGACTGGCTAATTTACAAAGGAAAAAGGTTTCCATTGACTCACAGTTCAGCCTGGCTGGGGCAGCCTCAGGAAACTTACAATCATGGCAAAAGGGGAAGCAAACACATCCTTCTTCACATGGCAGCAGGAAGGAGAAGTGCTGAGCAAAAGGGGGAAAGCCCCTTATAAAACCATCAGATCTTGTAAGAACTCACTCACTATCACGAGAACAGCCTAAGGGTAATTGCCCCCATGATTCCTGATTCAACCATCTCCCACTGGGTCCCTCCCACAATACATGGAGATTATGGGAACTACGAGTTGAGATTTGGATGAGGACACAACCAAACCATATCAGTAAGCTTCATGAGGATGGGAGTTACTTTGTCTATTTTAGCTACTGCTGTATCCCTAGAACAGTGTCTGGCAATTGGTAGATGCTCAATAGTTATTGCATGTGTGAATGAATGAACAAACATTGTTTTCTCCCTTTGACTCTGTCAAAAACCTTTACTTTTGGCTTTGAAATCCAGAGGCACCTCACCTTTTCCTGTGGTTTTCATAGTAGTTTGTTTCTACCCTTCATTCTTCCTTCTCATTTTCTCTGCCTGTTCCCTCTTGTTATTAGAGAGGCAGATAGCAAGCACATTCTCTTTATTCATTCTTGGAGCAGGATAAAAGGCGTTTATATGGGCTCCCGGTAATCTTGAAAGGGCAGTGATTCCCCCTCTCTTCTCCTAACTCCTAAACACTGTAAATGTGTCCCTCACCTGCTCATGTGCTGCCTGGATTTTGGCTCATTTTCTACTAATTCCCTGAAATAAACCATGAGCACAAGTCTCATGTCTCTAAATCCCCAGGTTTATAATAGGGCCTGGCAAGGGTAGGCTCTCAGCATGCATTTGCTAAGGAAAAGAAAAACAAAACAAGATGAATCTCTGTTGTCACTGTTTGAACATCTGTGAGACTCCACCCCCAAAGATTCAGCTCTTCCTGTGCAGGAGCGAGGCCTCCTTCATTACTGAGTATCCTCTGGGGGAACCGATGTCAAGTCATTGGTCAATGAGTGATTGCCATATGGAAAAGTGCTCCCCATCACTAATCGTCAGAGGTAGGCAAATAAAAACCACAATGAGATACCATCTTGCACCAATCAGAATGGCTATTACTAAAAAGTCAAAAAATAACAGATGTTGGTGAGGCTGTGGAGAAAAAAGAACACTTATACACTGTTGGTGGGAATGTAAATTAGTTCAGCCACTGTGGAAAGCAGTTTGGAGATTTCTCAAAGAACTGAAAACAGAACTACAATTTGACTCAGCAATCCCATTACTGGATATATCCCCAAAGGCAAATAAATCATTCTACCAAAAAGACACATGCACTTACATGTTCATCAAAGCACTGTTCAGAATAGCAAAGACATGGAATCAACTTAGGTGCCCATCAATGGTGGATTGGAAAAAGAAAATGTGGTACAGATACACCATGGAATACTACATAGTCTTAAAAAAAAACAAAATCATGTTCTTTGCAGCAATGTGGGTGCAGCTGGAGGCCATTATCCTAAGTGAATTACCACAGAAACAGAAAACTTAATACCGCATGTTCTCACTTCTAAGTGGGAGCTAAGCATTGAGTACACATGGACATAAAGATGGGAGCAGTAGCCACTGGGGACTACTAGAACGGGGAGGAAGGGAGGGAGGCATGGGCTGAAAAATTACCTATTGGCTAATATTCTCATTACCTAGGTCACACGATCATTTGTATCCCAAACCTCAGCATTGTGCAGTAATATGCACGTAGCAAACCTGTGCATGCACCCTCTGAATCTAAAATAAAAGGTAAAAATTTATTTAAATGAATGTTTGCTCACAAAACAGTTTCCAGGCAGCTGTGAACTTTTCATTAGGTGTTTAATCTTGAAAATAATTTATTTCCATTTTACTCTCTATATAAATGACCATTTCTTAGGTCCTAGCTGTTAAACCTAAATTGGGGCAGACTGAATAATGGCACCCCAGATATGCCCACAACCTATGAATGCTACCCTTTATGACAAAAGGGACTTTGTAGCTGTGCATGATATTGTAAAATATATATTTGATCTTCCTCCCAGTTTCCTGGCATACGACAACCAAAATCCTTGGAATCTCCCAAGTGATATGGATCTTTTTGTATGATAATGAGTTGACTGATTGTTAGGGGCTTCTGAATAGCCTCCTGATGGGTGCTGGTTGCCAAGGAAACCAACCTCACATTTAGAGGGTGATATGGTTTGGCTCTGTATCCCCACCCAAATCTCATCATCTTGAATTATAATCCTCATGTGTAGAGGGAAAGAGGGAGGTAGGTGATTGGATTAAGGGGCAGTTTCCCCATACTGTTCTCGTAATAGTGAGTGAGTTCTCACCAGATCTGATGGTTTCATAGGTGTTTGGAAGTTCTTCCCTCATTCTCTCTCTCCTGCTGCCTTGTGAAGAAGATGCTTGCTTCCCCTTCACCCTCTGACATGATTGTAAGTTTCCTGAGGCCTCCCCAGCCATGCAAAACTGTGAGTCAATTAAACCTCTTTCCTTTATAAATTATCCAGTCTCAGGGATGTTCTTTATAGCAATATGAAAATGGACTAATACAGAAGGTTGGATGGAACCTTCAGCCTCCCACCCTCCAACCTCCAGGGAGGGGAAAGGGACTGAAAGATGAATCGCTCACCCGTGGTCAATAATTTAACCAATTATGCCTACATAACAAAGTTTCCATAAATACCTCAAAGGGCTGAGTTCAGGGAGGTTCTGGATAGCTGAACATGTGGAAGTCCCTAGAGCACAGTGTGCCAGGAGAAGGCATGGGAGCTCCATGACCCTTCCCATATGCCTTGCCCTGTGCATCTTTTCCATCTGGCTGTTCAACTGTATTCTTTGGAATATCCTTTATTATAAAATGATCAACATAACTAGCTTGATTCCCTGAGTTCTATGAGCAACTCCAGCAAATTAATCTAATTTGAGTAGGGAGTCATGGGAACCCCACTTCATAGCCAATCAGTCAGAAATTCTGGAAGCCCAGCCTTGAGACTGGCATCTGGGGTGGGTGGCAGTCTTAGGGACTGAACCCTCAATGTGTGGTCTCTTAGGCTACTTCCAAGTAGACGATGTCAGAAATGAATTGAATTAGAGGACTCTCAGCCAGTGTCTACTGGAGAATGGCTCACGTGGTGTGTGGGGGAAAATTTCCACAAATCTAGGGTCACAGAAGTGTTGATCATTGAGAGAAAGAACAGGACAAACACTTTTTTTTTTTTTTTTCTGACTCTCAAACTGATTAATTTAAAGATCTTGAGACAGAGAGGCTCTCCTGAATTATCCGGGTGGGCCTGATGTGATCACAAGGGTCTTTATAAGAGAGACACAGGAGAAGAGAGTCAGAGGAGAAGGCAGTGCCATAACAGAAGCAGCGATTGATTGGCATAATGAACTTTGAAGATGGGGGAAGGGGCCACATGCCAAGGGATACAGGCAACCACTAGAGGCTGAAAGGCAAAGAAATGGATTTTCCCCTCAGAGACTCTGGAAGGAATCAGCCCTGTTGATGCATTGACTTTAGCCCTGTGAAACTATTTCATACTTCTTGCTTCCAGAACTGTAATAGACCAGATTTGTGTTGCTTTAAGCCACCAAATTTGTAGTAATTTGTTGCAGTAGCAATAGGAAACTAATACAATAAATGAATGATTGCTTTTGTCTCATAGGGCTTATTTATTTATACTTGAATTTACTGTATTAAAAAATCTCCTAAGGCTTGGATCAGAAGTCCCCCAAGGGAGGAGCCCCCCTGTTCTGATGTTCTGTTTGCTTTGATTGTGGGCCTCTTTTCCAATGTGCCCCCTGCTACCCAGTCACATCTTCAGCTCATTGTCTTTGCCAGAGCTTGTAAGCAGCCCACCCACTCCATCTCTTCCTCTTCACCCTGGCGCTGGCCCATCCTTTGTGCATTTTGCTAAAATGTCATCCTGAACAAAGAGGCTCAGCGGACTAGTACAGTTGACTGGGCTGAGCTTCATGAGGGACCACTGATGGAGCACCCAGCCCACTCAGACACTCAATGCTGACCAATGCAGAATATTTCTTAAATCAGAGTTTCATTAGCTTCCCTTTTCAAGGATTTTAACATGCCAAGCATGTTAATGCTACCTGTTCAGAATTCTCTAAGGAGCACGATAGACAGGCATAAAGCAATGGCAATATTTTGCTTTCTGGAATATCTTCAACCATTACTTATGCAACATAAATGTGCCCATGGAAAACCTTGTGCACTCCTGGCAGTGTGGGGCTAACGTGGGCATGATAGGGTAAGACTGCATACAAGCAAGAGTCTTGAGAATCTGGAGTGGTCAGAATTTGCTAGAAATGGTGTGGTTGTGAAGAGTCAACAGAACCACTTTCAGGGTCCTATTCCTGTAGAACCTTCCACACCTAGCTATGTGTACAGAGCTGTGCTAATGATGCTAGTCAATTACTTCACCAATATTTACAGCAGTTGTTTCAACTCTTTATAAAGAGCATCTATTGTGGCAGGGAATGGTTTAGAGCCTCTAGAATGAATTGCTTGTGAGTTCACAGCTTGGAGACAACCAGGAGTAAGTGAGGCAGTTTCCAGTGGAGAATTCCCCCTGCATGAGCAAGCCTGGGCCTGGGAGCTTCAGATTTGTAATAGGAGAAAAGCTGGCTTCCATGACAGGGAGAAGGGGAAAATGTCAAAAAAAAAAAAAAAGAGAGAAATGAAGGGACGCATTCCAGACTCCTACTTAAACATGACCAGGACTTTGGTTTTTCACAAATTTGCCCCAGCCTCTGCTTCCTTTTCTTTCATGGGGACAAAAGCAGGAGCTTTTCAGAGAAGAGTTTTGTTTGTGATGACAATTTCTGTTTTAAAAAGCGAAACAAGTGAAAATAGAACAAATTGGGCTAAAGTCTCCATTCTAGGCGTTCTAAAGCCTTCATTTTCATAGAGCTGTATAGTTTATAAAGCATAACAATGAAACATCTTTCTGAAATTGTTATAATCTTTTTACAAACAATTTAGTTTGGAGAAAAAAAAAATCTCAGAAAGATTCTCTGCCTTCTCAAAGATCACATC